TCTAGACAGGTTTGTCGCCTTCGGCGTACTCTGTATGGTCTGAAGCAGATTGCTGTTACTGAGCTTGGGTTTCATTATTGTGCCCAGGACTCTGCTTTATTTCTTTTCCATACCTCTGCTGGATTTGTTGCGTTATTATTGTATGTGGATGATATGATCATCACTGGTTCTGACTCTTCAGCTATATCTGAGGTCAAGCAGCATCTTTTCCGCACCTTTGAAATGAAGGATCTGGGCCCATTGCGGTATTTTCTTGGAATTGAAGTAGCTTTTTCTCCCAAGGGCTACTTTCTCTCTTGGGCCAAGTATGCCAATTCATCGTGCCAATTTTACTGACACTAAGATTTCTAATACCCCTATTGAGCTTAATGTAAAGCTCAATACTATTGATGGTGTTCTTTTGGATGATCCTACTCTATATCGAGAGCTCGTGGGTTGCTAGTCTATCTGACGGTTACTCGTCCTGATCTTGCCTATGTTGTTCATGTAATTAGTCAGTTTGTCTTTGCTCCTCGCTGGCTGCATTGGTTCAGATTCTTTGCTATCTCCGAGGTATTATCTTTCAGGGTTTACTATTGTCCTCTACTTCCTCTCTAGATTTGGTGGCCTATGCTGATTCTGATTGGACTGGTAATGTTACTGATCGCAAGTCCACGTCTGGTTTCTATATGTTTCTTGGAGATTTCTTGATCTCTTGGAAAAGCAAGAAACAAACTATTGTTGCTCGCTCTGCTACCGAAGCTGAGTATCGTGCCATGGCTCATGCTACTGCTGAAATTGTCTGGCTTCATTGTCTTCTTTCTGACGTGGGCGTCCCTTAGTCTTCCTCGACCTCCCTCTATTGTGACAACCACAGTGCTATTCAGATTGCACATAACACTGTCTTCTATGAGCGGACCAAGCACATTGAGATTCATTGTCACTTTGTTCGTCAGCATCTGCAGTCTGGCTCTATCTTACTTCCTTTCGTCTCTTTGGCTCTGCAGCTTGCTAACTTCTTTACCAAGACTCACACCGCTGCTCAGTTTCAGTTTCTTCTTGGCAAGCTCTTAGTGTTTTCTGCCCAAACACCTTGAGTTTGAGCGGGAGTGTGAGAATAATATTAGTATATTCTATATTATGTGACTATTGTTTTCTATTTAGGACTGGTTTAGGTGTATTCTTGTTTCCTATTTAGGATTAGTGTTCTATGTCTATTAGAATTTTATGTCAGTGATGTATTCGTTTAGGATTAGGATTGGGATTAGGATTAGGATTTAGTGTTCTATATAAGTGATATATTCTTTGTTCAGAAAATAAAATTGAATATAGAAAAGCTTTCAGAAATCTTACAAAAACATATTACTGTATCAGTATCCCAACATGTTACCAACCACCCAGGGAAAGTACCAGTTGCAGTAAATCACATGCCCATATCAAGAAGAAGAAATCGCTAAGGAGCCAAATCACAGAGATAGATAATAGAGACCTTATATGCTGCATAAATGAACACCGTCATTGCAGAGCTTCCAGTGTTGAACCGTGTCCCTTCAATCTCTTCTGTGACCTATAAGTCAAACCAACTAATTGGTCAGAGCTTCATATTATGTTCAAACTACAACACCTAGGGGCATGATGACATCTAAAAGATGTATCTGCATTAGAAATGCGCCAAAACACTAAATTGAAAGCACTTGTATAAATTGTCTTACTTTTCATTTCTCCATTTAAGCATCAAAATCCCACACATAATTATTATTATTATAACATAATTATTATTATTATTATTATTATTATTATTATTATTATAAATCTTTGCTCCCCTTCACACATATTATGCGTTTTGTATCATGCAGCTCTTTAATTTCCATTTCCAAAAATTCAACATTTTCAAATTCGATAAGTCTGACACTATAGACCCACCTCAAATTTTACCACCCTTACCCATGCCAATGCAACATATTAATATGCATTGGTAAACAATGTCCAATAGCATGGCTAAAAAGGGGTGACCTAGTGCTCGAGGCTCCAGCTAATGTGGGGCTTGGGTAGAGCATGCCCAGTAGCATGGCTACCAGAAATTTGATTATAGAATTTTAAAAAATAATAATAAATTCAATTTTGTGCTCTCAACAAGATTATAATAGCATAGTTTTATTAGAAGCTTAAAGTTAAATATCAGAAACATAACAAATATACAGAACTGTTCTCAAGATCACAAGCTTGAAGTTATCTAAATAGAGATTAACAGAGATTAACTTAAAAGATGAATACCATGCTCATTCCCACCCATGGGCTTTGCAATGATCACCTTAACATGGCAATTCACTGTATCCCCAGAATTATGCTCTGGTCAAAAACTGTGACCCACGGATAGCAGCCAAACCAGTTATAATACTACAACATCCCATGGTAAGAAACCAGGGCATGCAGCCAATGAAAATGGGAAGGAACAAATATTGTGGCTGCTGCACAAATGGGATTTAAAAAACCTTTGAAGAGAGAGAGAGAGAGAGAGCAACAAACTACAATGCAAAAATGGATAACTAGGCCACTAGCTTGGTGAGTTGTGACAGCGATGACCAAAATGGATGTAAATAATAAGCTTATTGTTTTTAACATTAACATTATAAGGCCATGCAGAAAATCTAAAAACAGCTCCCTTCTAAATTTAGAAAATAGTACACAATGCTATATGTATTATTTTGTTTTAACATTGACTGCTTTATTTATTTTATAAAAACATCATTTTTTTTTTATCAGCAAAAAAAACTTTATTGATGAAGAAAACATACACTACATATGAGAGTACATCAACAAAGCGGTGGAAGTGTAAAGAGCATCAAAGCAACTCTACCCCAATCTCAACTAGGTTGACACCAAGGAGAGCGCTCAATCATCTGCTAGCACAACCCCCAAAGGTTGGTGAGACACCAACACAGCACCAAGGAAAAAAAAAACGAAAACCACTCAACAACCTAACAACCAACCCAGAACATACCACAACCAAAGCACTGCAAGCTGCAAACCAAAAATGGCCTAAATGCACTAGCAGCAGAAACATGATCAGCACCACAAATCAGCCACAGCCACAAATCAGCTTGAACAAATATAGAACAGACAGATCAGAACCACAAATCAGCCAAAACAATAAAGCAGCACACCACTCTTCAAGGTCCACCCTACACAACCCACCACCCCTGATTTAGCTAGACAGAAACCTCAGCCAAGGCAGACTATAACCTGTTGAAGATGATGAACAATCTCATTGACTGAGTAAACCATAGCTGGGCAAGAGGATTTGATCCACAATGCAATCCTCACCTTGATGGAGTCACACAAACTCACAACATCAGCCTGAGTGCTTTTGAAAATGCAATCATTCCTCTGCTTCCATACGGACCAGAGCACAGACAAAGGAACAACATTCCAGATTACCTTCAACTGCTTTGATAATCTCCAACCCTGCCACCAATTGAGTAAACTGCTCACAGACCCAGGTGTTACCCAACGAATACCCCACCATTTGATAATATTAGACCAGATCCTCCAAGTAAAAGGACAAAGCAACAGCACATGGTTACTACTTTCCACCTCCCCATTACAAAAAATACAATTCACAGTTGATCCAGCATTTAGAACACCAATTTTTTGCAGATAGCTAGAAGACTTTACTCTCCCTTTCCATGCTAACCAACCAAAAAATTGAACCTTAGGAGGAGATACATTCTTCCAAATGAAACCAGCAGTCTTGATATTAGCTCCGTGACCCAATTGACTCCATCTATAAGCTGAAGCAACTGAGAAAGACCCTGATGTATCTGCAGTCCAACTCAATATATCTCTCCTACCTTCCCTGAGAGCCGGAGCATTAAGTAATATTGAAGTCATTCTCCTCAACTCCTCCACCTCCCACTGGAACAGAGTCCTTCTGAAGTTCAGATTCCACTCCTCAGCACCAGTTCTCCTGCTATACACCAATTCCACAGATTCATCATTTCCCACTGTTACAGAATATAATCTAGGGAATACATCTTTCAAACAAACATTTCCAAACCATTTATCCTCCCAGAAAAGTGTTCTCTTACCATCTCCAATAACCAGAGCTATTTTATTTTTAAAAAACTCCACCAGATCAGGCCTACCCGAAGCAAGCCCCAATATATCTTTCCAGATCAAAGAGCGCCTGAGATGTTCCACAGGTTCAGGCCACCATCCCCTCCCATCCTCATTATACTTGCTGCATATCACCTGCTTCCATAGGGTTTTTTCTTCAGCCCCAAACCTCCACCACCATTTTAAGAGAAGGCAATCATTCATAAGCTTGATCCTTTTAACTCCTAATCCCCCTTGACTTTTGCTTTTTGAACTCTCCTCCCACTTTATCAAATGAATCTTTCTTCTAAGTTCATCACCTCCCCATAAGAATCTAGACTGAACTCTGTCAATTTCTTTTGCAACCCCTTCTGGCATCCTGAACAAAGATAGGTAGTAGATTGGTAAACTAGACAGCTCTGACTTTATCAGGGTTAATCTCCCTGCAAAGGATAGGAATCTCCTCTTCCAAGATGCTAGCTTTTGTTTGCACTTATCAATCACAGGTTGCCAAAACCTTCTTCTCCTTGGACAATCCCCCAATGGCATCCCTTAAGTATTTTAAAGGCAGATTTTGATGTAAGCAGTTCAGTTTGTCAGCAAATCCTTTAGTGAGGTCCTCACTAATGCCAATCCCACACACCACACTCTTGTGGAAGTTAATTTTCAACCCTGAAAGCATTTCAAAACATCTCAGAATCCTCTTAACATTCCCAATCTCCTCCCATTCTGCCTCGCAAAAAAGAATTGTATCATCTGTAAATTGAAGATGGGTGATCACAAGATCGTTTGAGCCAACCACAGCACCTCTAATCAACCCCAGTTGTAGAGCTCTACCCAAAAGAATATTCAGACCTTCAGCAACAATATTGAAAAGAAAAGGTGATAATGGATCACCTTGTCTAAGACCCCTTTGAGGTGTGAACTCAGATGTTGGTGATCCATTGACTAATACAAAAACTCTGGCTGAAAACACACTCTCTTATCCAACTGATCCATTTGGCACCAAACCCAAAATTTGCGAGCATAGAAAAGAGGAGCTCCCAGTTAATTGAATCATAGGCTTTCTCAAAGTCAAGTTTTAAAACAATGCCTTTCCTATGCTTCTTCCAACCGTCAACTATTTCATTTGCAATCAACACACCATACAAAATACTTCTACCTCCAATGAAGGCTGATTGAGAATCACTAATGATCTTTGGCATAACATTCTTGATCCTATTAGACAAAACCTTTGCAAGAATTTTATACAAGGAGCCTAGAAGGCTAATAAGCCGATAATCATTAAGACAAGAAGGATTATTAGATTTTGGAATCAAAGCAACAAAGGAGCTATTAATTCCATGAACCAACTTAGAGTTCTTGTGGAAATCTTTCATGAAGTGAATCACATCCCCCTTAACAATTTGCCAACAGTTCTTAAATAACATCAAATTAAAACCATCCGAACCAGGTGCTTTATTACCTTCACACTGCTTCAAGGCTCTAGATATTTCCACTTCTGAAAATTCAGCTTCAAGTACTTCCCTAACCTCTACCCCCCCAATGGAATTGAAAGTGCCAGATAAACTTGGCCTTCTAGACCAACTTTCAGCAAAATGATTCCTAAAATGATCCAACACTGCAGCCCTTATATCCCCAGGATCTTCCAATACAACTCCATTCACATTAATTGAACATAAGGCATTCCTGTTGTTACGCGAAGTAGCTATAGCCATAACTTGAAATTTTTTTGTATTTCTATCTCCTTTTAAAGCCCAATTCACTCTAGACTTCTACACCCAAATCCACTCCACCATTCTACTCAATTTCCAAGCTTCCCATTTTGCAACCCTTCTTCGAGTTAACTCTGATTCAGATAGTGAACTTTCTTCTGCTTTCAAGTCCAGAACATGTAATTCCTCCTCAAGTAGTTTGAGCTCAGATTCCACATTTCCAAACACCTCAACATTCCATTGTTTCAATGCCAGTTTAAGCGCTTTGAGTTTTCTAAGACATTTGAAACCACTCCAACCCTCCACAATAGTCTCCTTCCAAACTTTTTCCACAAAGGCAAAGAAGCTAGGATGGAGGGTCCAAGCATTTATGAATTTAAATGATTTTGGACCCCAATCCCTCTCATCTTCCATGAGTAAAATAGGGCAACGATCAGAGACCCTTCTTGGTAGCCCCTAAAGTTTGAAATTGAACTTATTCATCCACTCGAGACTAAGCAAAAATATGTCAATCCTACTCCACTTCTCATCAGCCCGAGAATTACACCAAGTAAATTTCCTCCCCAACATTGGAATATCACGCACTTCCAGGTTGTCAATTAGCTCATTAAACTCTCTCATACCCTTATCTCTCCTAGAGCACCCCTCCCTCTCTGATATGTACCTAACTTCATTAAAATCTCCCCCCAAACACCAAGGTTTTTCATACAATAGATTCATTCTAACCAAAGAATCCCACACTCTCCTTCTATAGGTACTATCATTTGGACCATAGACATTAACTATGACACATTCAAAACTGAAACAAAGGGTACCTGACAAGATGATGAAGTTCTTAGTACAACAGCAGTCCACCAATTGAAAGACATCTGGATTCCAAATGCATAACAACCCTCTAGCTGCTCCCATTGAACCTACTTCCATGAAATCCATCTTTTCACCATGCCAAAGTGATCTAACAAACTCTTCATTAACTGATTGCTTTTTAGTTTCCTATAATAGCACCATCTCCACCTTCCTTTCAAAAAAATAGATTTTTTATTTTTCTCCTTTTAGCAGGCTTACCTAGCCCTCTTACATTCCACAACTTCATTGAGGAAACAAATAAAGTGATCTAACAAACTCCTCATTAACTGATTTCTTTTTAGTTTCCTGTAATAACACCATCTCCACTTTCCTTTCAAAAAATAGATTTTTTATTTTTCTCCTTTTAGCAGGCTTACCTAGCCCTCTTACATTCCAGGATAATAACTTCATTGAGGAAACAAATACAAACACCAACCCACCTTGAGATACAATTCAATCTGCTCCCACATCCCTCATCTTCATCTTCTCCTTATCCTTTGCTTCTAGCTCTATTAGTTTGCTTATCACTTCCTCCTCTTTTCCATCACAATTGAGCCCCAGAGCATGGCCAATTTGAAGTGTTGCTTCAGCCTCATTTAGCAGCAGTTGCCCAGAACCTGATTTGCTTGCCATTGACAGGGAGATTGCAGCAACAGCTGATCTAAAGATAGCTCCTTTCCTCAAGTTCAAAGAGGATCCGGCACCAAATTGAAGAGGTCCTTTTCGCTTACCATGAGACCGAACAACTCCTTGAGCTTTCTCCTAGCTAACTTTCCTTTTCTGAGCTTGTGAGACAGACTGAGGTAAAAACCCAGTGTTGCCCCTGTTTGCAGCTGCAACCTGGGCTTCCTTACCACTCGTGGCTTGTCCCAAAACTCCCTTTGTGGGTTGCACCACCATCTCATAACTATTAGATAAGTTTTGGGCCCCATCATTACCCCTCTTCAAATCTTGGGCCTTATCTAAACATATTTCAATATTGAGCCCAGGTCTATCCACCTCAGACCCACTGATGCTCCTCATAAAACCAGGAGTAACAATTTCATCCACAACATTTCGGTTGCCTCCATTTTGAATCTGCATAGGACTCTCCACTATTGTAGCAGTCCTGCCAACGCATGCGCCCCCAAAATTTGTCCTTCCCATGCTATTGTCAGTCTCAGGAACCACAGACATGCTTAACCACCTGTCTTGATTATCCACGTCATTGTGTTTTACAGGCCTTAACTCAGACCCTCCTGCTGCCATGTCACCTTCCTTGTCCAACTCACCTGCTAGCTGGCCCTCCACCTCAGCCACATCATCCTCTTGATTGTTCTCCGCCTCTGGCATCTGAGTACTGAATCCTCCATTAGAGCTGTGGCTATCTCCATTGCTCTGCATCTTATAACACTTAGATTGTTTATAGACCACCTCCGAGATGACAATCTGCTCTTCGCAAACTTTTACTGGATACAGCTTCCCCTTGCAGCTTAGGTGAATAGTTTTGTTAATGGATTCCATACACTTTGTGGCTATCTTCACTTTCCCACAGTGTAGGTATGCATTCTAAAGGTGGCATCATCCAAACCAATGACTTCCCCCCACAATTTTCCTATGCTGCTGAAAGTGTTACTGCTCCATAAATTTAACAGAACTCTAAAACATGATAACCAAACAATCCGTTATTGTTCAATAGCCAACCCCTCCTTCCATTTCTTTATCGACTCGCTCCAAACATGTATCCAACCCTCCATGGACTTCAAACTCTCTTGCATGCCTTTCACTGAGTCAAAAGTCATGACCATGTCTCTACCACCTCCATTTCTCACCTGGATACCCCCCATTCCCCTACTCTTCAGTTCTTGTTTAAACTCTTCCGCATCATGCATTGGTTTCAGTCTAACAATCGCACTGGTATACAGCCACCCATTACCTTCTTCAAAAGCCTTTATGATTAAAGAGGAATTGGCTACTGTCCCTCTGCCATTCACAGCCTGAGCATATGACTTTCCCCCTTGTGCCAAACCAGACACTGCACTAGCACTGCCTATATTCCCCCTTCGAAATGTTTGTGCTACTGGCCTCTGCTTCATTTCCCCTACCAAAATCTGCAACTTTTACCTTTAATGCTTCGTTATCACACCAGAGTCCATGAGCTTTTTGACATGCCATCTTGGTTGCTACGGGGCAGTCGTAATGTACAAATCCAAATCTGGATCGTGACAGGTTCCGTCTCTTGTTTGGGATGAACACATCTACCACTACCCCAAAGTTAGAAAATAGTGCATACAAACTTTTTGGACTCATAGATTCTGGAAGATCATCCCCAAAAAGTGTGAACAATATCCTCTCTTTCTTTGACCCTACTTCCTTGACCACTATATTTGCGCAATACCAGCTTCCATCCTCCCTCACACTCTCTTCCTCTGCTTTTCTCCATTATAGTTGTTTTAACTGAACTTTATAAAAAATAGCATGATGTCCACATGAGCAGCTTCTTTCCATAAAAATGTTATTTTTATTTCAATTAATTATTTGTAGAGTTAAAAAACATGGTTCTATATCTTCAGATATGGTGGTCAGGTGACTTCAGATTTCGAACCATACATATCTTCGACATTGATGAGAGACATCACTTAGGATAAACAAGCTTTAGCAATATTGCACAGCCTTCAGAGAGCATCTTTTAAACACTACACACTTTCACACACACAATGTAATAAACAAAACACACTAGTTGTGAACTTTATTGTATATGCTTTCGTTTGGTCATAAAATTGCTTATTTACCCAAAATAAATAAATAAACAATACAAAATTCATAACATATATGTGCACTATTGCATTCCAATTTCTAACTAAACGAGACCTCAAGGAGTAGAAAAGGCAAGGAAGAAAAACTAATAGCATAGAAAAAAAATAATAATAATACCTTATCAATGCATTTATGGAGAGAACGAAGTTGTTCCAATAGAGGCTCATTGTCAATTGCGACTGTTCCATCTCTAAATGTACCATTGGGTAAAGGTGAACCAACTATCAATCTCCAAATTCTCCCCAAAAATCGATGAACGCCTTCAATACCACCAGTATAGGAAAGGTCATGCAAGAAAGGAGCAGATATAAAAAGTGAGCTTGAGTTTAAAAATTGCAAGACATGTTCTCAAGTTTTTAAAAAAATAATAATAATAATGATAATTATAAGATACTTTTTTTAACAGAAACCTACCTAAATGGGCCCATGAACATCTCATATAAGCGAAGAGAGTCTGCACCATACTCAAAAACAACATCATCAGGATTCACCACATTTCCCCTGCTTTTACTCATTTTATGAGCCCAGGCAATCAACCGAATTTTGGGATTGTCTTTTAACACAAAAGAATCACCAGATTTCATTACCTACATAAGGGGAAAAAATAATTCCAAAAACCAAAAATAAAAAGGTGAATGCCAAAAATCATAGCCTTGTCTCTACTGAATTTAGTGGTATGCATCAAGATGGGTGAGAAAATATATAACAGATGCAGAAAAACACACTTTTTCATCAGGTATTCTTTCTTGATGATGCTCTCCGAACACATCAACAGAGTCTGCACACATGAAATTCCCATCTGAATCTCTGCATGCCATATTTTGAAGCTGCCACTTAAATCTTTAAGAACTAGCAACGGGGAAACATTACTTTGTGACCAAGCAACTTTACTTATTACTTACTTCCCCTAGGATAATTCCCTGGTTTATGACGCATTAGAAAGGTTCTTTGGTTGATACAACACCAATGTCATAGAGATCCTGCAACATAGTTTGAATTAGAAAACAACTATGGACGGCACCAGGCTTTAATTTACTAGCCATTTGATCACAGACAGCCTCGTTTTTTAATTTCGGTGCTTCCTTCATCACAGTGCTTCTCAAATACGTATCTTACCAATTGGGCTCTCCATCTCCCCAGACTGGCTCAGATTACTATGGTAAATAAACTTTTCTTGAAAACCAGAATACAATCATTACAATCAACCTCCAATTTGGCTTGACTCATAACAATCCTAGGTATATCTTTTTATGATAACATCAATTAGATGTGTTCCAAAAAAAATGAATATTGCCTACAATGCTCGGTGCTTCCTTCATCACAGTGCTTCTCAAATACATACCTTACCAATTGGGCTCTCC